GTCTAAATGCAATACTTTGGCTAATGGTTTCTGAAAATAGCACTTTTCTGTATAACAAAAAATAGGATGAGCCCATAAAGGTGTTTTATATTGATAAAACTATTGTCCAGATTATCTAAATGTGAAAAGCAAGCAATAAACTATGTTAGTACAAGAATTTCCTAGTATAAAGCATATTTTTTGACTTCATTTTTTTAGCAGGCAACAGAAAAAAGAAAGAAAAGAAAAAATGTCATGTAGTGGTAAACTACAGATTTCTCAAAGTAATCATTAAAGAGATAAAAGTGATTAGTAGTATTTATTTCCAAGGTTATCTATTTATTAATCATTCAATACATATCAAAAATGTTCATTTAGGTTTTAATTGAACCCTCAAAATACCCACGAGGATCTAGACGCACAGAATGGATTTAAGATCAGAAAGTTGTAGAACCAAGATTATTATGACGTTTGTCCTCTTCCCTGTATCGTCTATTACATCGGGATTAAAATGCAACTACCATAGCAATAAAGAGTAAAAATGAGGGCAATAACGTTCATCTTCAATGACAAATCATCAAGCTGAACATTGTTCTGCTTTAGGCAGGATTCCCAGGCCCACGGAAAAGGAACAAATGCAGTACTTCCCACAAAACTGCGGGGATCAAACCCACGTGTGGGACAGAACAAGCGCTCTTCCTAACACCACAGACAAGGGAGCAGTGAACTGGAAACGCCACCCCTTGATTTAGAGCAAGGTCCTCGTCTTGAGGGGAGGCACATACCACCCCTCCCACCTGCAGTTCTGCAGGAGAGAAGGGAGTGTGAAGATGACAGAGGATGGCAGAGCTCTGGCTTACAGATCATAAGCTCCCTGCAGGCACATCTGCTTGCTGAGTCTTGGTGCTTAATGAGTATCTGTCCAAATCACTTGATCGAACACCAGGGTGACTTTCCCTACACTTAGGGAAAAAAAATTATTTTTAAGCAATTGGAAAGCTATAGAAATAAAACAGGGAGTTCTAGAATTAAATGTACCTTTATTCTAAAATGAAATATATTTTGGATCAGGCACAATTATATAGTTCCTAACATGCTTATTTATCAAATACACTCTATAATAACCTGCATTTCTTCCCTAGAAACATGCTGTCTTTACTGTTCTTACAACAGGTATTTTGAGATGATGCTCGTTTAGGGGTTGTCTCATTTACTCACATCGGAACCAGAGAGGGGTCCAAGTGATAACGTCACTGCCAAAGATACAAGATCCAGAGGATCGAGACATATTCAGAACCTTTTTGAAGTTTATGACTTGGTTTTGAATGGTCAAAAGTGCCAAAAAGTCTCAAGGGAGAAATAAAAATCCCCCTGAGACTTCTGGAAGACAAGTAGGTTTGACTCGTGAGTGAAGACGGTCTTTGCAGTTCCTTCGTCCCCCCTTGATCGCTCCCCAGCTCCTCACCATGACATACACATGAGGATAACGATAGGAAATGAGAAATGAAGATGGAGTCATGCTAGAAAAGGAAGAGATATTGAGACCTTCGCTGTACTGCGTTGTGTTGTATTACTTCACCTCTGCCTGCTCTTCTCTACTGGCAGCACGGCTAGTCAAAGAACACTCTAGAATCCCCTGGATTATGTCAGAATTTTTAGTGGTCTGGGCCCTCCCAGTAGTGGTAACAGGGTAAAGGTTAAAGGAATAACAGAGGGAGAATAAATAACAACCAGCGTTGTGCCCCTGGAAGATTCCTTAGGGGGAAGGGAGTCACTCTACAGGCATTATTCTAAAAAATAAAACAAATAAAAAGAAAGCTGAATGAGTAGGAAGGTACATGTATGACATGTTAGCAAGAGTCATTGACTAAGCATTGAATTTTGATACAGGTGTAAAGCAGTGGTGGCCAAAATGGTCTCAATACTGGTAAGCTGAATTAACCCACACGTTTTACAATTCCAAAAGCTTTCTACAATCTTCTATAGACTATGATAAGGCCAGGCTGAGCAATTCTGCAAATATGAACTGAGCATGGCAAGAATTTCCTCCTTGTCATTGGTTGCTCTGTCAATAGGTAAGATAAGTGTTTGTCATTTATACTGAAATAGGACACAATTCGTACCAGAAAATATTTCAATTATCTAACATTTTACTAGTAATCCACTGTTTACTGTATTCTCTTTTAATAGTTACGAGATAAACTCTATGATTTTTTTTAGTACTACTAATTCATGAATCTGATCAGCTCTGGGTAGAGTAGATTAGACTGCAGCACGCTCTATCTGGGCTCTACTATGTAGAGGGAACCTGTTGCACTAACCACCGATCAGCTTTGTCTAGAACAAAATGTTTTCCTCTCTCATTTAATCATTAGAATGTGGGTTATTTTCTCCTTAAAATAGCTATTTTGAGACTAGCAGCAGCTGAGTGAAGTATGTTGGTCTCATTAAGCTTGACACAAAGCTATGTTCACCTTGAGTCTCAGTGTACCATTTATCATTTGCTTCGTGAATCAAGGCTATGCCTTGGTTTGCTACGAAAGTAATAACATCAGACTAGATAACCTATTACTTAGAAATTTTAGGTTATGCTTGGCATAAAGAATTTGCGAGGCAAACTCTTTAATAAAAATATCTGACAAGCTCTCCTTTTAGAATAACTGCTCATGGCTATCTATCCACATCTAATGTTGGCAAAAACCTGAAAAGATTATAATACATTCCACCAGTTTGAGAGGGATGAGTTCCAAGAGAGGATGGATTACTTCAGATTTTTGCTTAAAAAAAAAAGTCTTCTGTTTTACACAAATTTCAGAAATGCTAAAAAAATACCCAAGACATATACAAATGTAAAATTACTAATAGCTTCATACAATAAAATGGCATATCTATAAGAATAATTTAAAAACAATATACATTCTTATACACTACAGAATTAAAGCCTTCATCTTTTTCAAGTATCTTAATACTAGTGATATAGACTTACATTGTTAATATTTTTAACACATTGGAAAATGCAGGCTAATTTTTTTCTTTTGTAGTAAAAAAATTATGGAAAAGACATTTACTTTAGTGTATATCTAGGCATCTTATTCCAGTTTTCTAAAATACTAGAATAGTAACGAGCGTTTCTAAAGTTTACTTCAAATTATTTCAATGATCATATAAGCATAGTATCAATGACAATTGAGGAAAAGCCTTCTAATTTGCTTCCAGTGGTTTGAAGGACCCATATCTTCTTTTTCTAATTGTCACTTGCATAGAGATAGATTGCTTTACAATCTTTAAAACCAGTGACAACAAGGTTTACCACCTGCTCTGCCTTCTTCCTCTAGTACAGGACAAGCTTGTCCTTTGCAGACAGAAACTGTAACCTCTGTGACACCTTTGCCAAGACCTGCCCACCCCACCCTGGGGACTTTTACCAGGATTCCTAAATGTTGGGAGAAACATTAAAGCATCAGTTATTGTGGCGACTTTTTGTTATTTTTAAGAAACAAATAACCACAAAATTAAAAATATATATATGTATAAAAGAAAAGTGAGAAAGTCCCCTCTTGGTACCTTGTTTAAAATTATCATTCTATAGAGAAAGCCTCTGGTTATTCGGAACAAATGAACTTCCTTTTTGTTTGTGTGGGCGTGCTTTGTTACCCTGAGGAATTTCACTAAATGAACACTCGTTCATAAAGTAAGGCTGACTCGAAAATGCTGGGTACAGACATAAATAGTTACATACTTCTTGAGTCTTCCAGGCACCAACAACAAATGGCTACCTCTTCTGATCTATGATCAAATGACAGTGGACTGGTGTTTTGGGGTGTTTTTGAGACAGAGTCTATGTTACCCTCAGTAGAGTGCTGTGGTGTCACAACAACCTCAAACTCTTGGGCTTAAGTGATTCTCTTGCCTCAGCCTCCTGAGTAGTACCTGGGACTACAGACACCCGCCACAATGCCCGGCTATTTTTGTTGCAGTTGTCATTGTTGTTTGGCAGGCCTGGGTCAGGTTCAAACCCGCCAGCCTCAGTGTATGTGGCTGGTGCCTGAGCTATGGATGCTGAGCCTCTACTGGTTCATTTTTGAGGCAGGAGAAAAAGAACAACATTTTGCAACTGAATGTATATTTTGTATAATTTTTTAAATATAATACACTTAAAATTGAAATTCTCTTTTCCAAAGGTTTTACTTCCTCCGTCTTAGAAATGTCAAGGTTCCACAAATATGAGAAAATTATTTTTGGAAGGAAGGAAGGAATAGGTGACATTCTAAAAATATGAGCTATTTTTAAAAGAAAACATAATGACAAGTTAATAGAATCATGCTGTAGAATGCTCTTGGTATTCACCAATTTACTTGGTAAATAGCATGTGTCATGTAGGCAGCTAAACTATTAGTCACCACACAGGGGTCATCTGGCAACGAGCCTCAGATCTGACGCTAGAACTATTTAGATTATTCCACTCGCAGCAGAGCACAATCGAGCACTAAGCGTATGTCTACTAAAAGATCAAGTTAGTGAAACACCAAGGGAACTTCCTAGAAGACAGCGTTGACCACCACATGGTCCCCAGCCTGACCTCCAGTTGTTGTTACTGTGAGGTGCCAGCCTGCTCCGCCCTCATGCTCAGTTAGAAACACACGTGCCTTCCTGTGACGGCTACAGCCCAGCAGGGGTGAAGGTGAGCACTCAAGTTACTGTTTCCAGAGGACAGAAAAGCTGGACCACAAACTTAATTTAACAAATAAAGAAGTCGTGAAGCTGATAATCTACAAGTACTTTTGAAGCCCACGTGGACTAGCTTATGATGGAAGCAGAGTTAAAAAAAAAAAAAAAGGTAATAAATGGGCATTATGTGAAAAAAAATTGCACAAGTATGCATCTTTTTTGCTATGATTCTGTGTGAAGAAGCAAGATTGCTGTGTAGATGCTTCTACTTATTAAGCATTTTGCTCCGTCAGAAGATTATTTCGAAGCAGGGAATAAATAAAAATGAATTAGAAAAGGAAAATCGTCTATACCTGAAAAATCCGCAGCTAAGAGATCGACCGCCTTTAAAACCTTCACTTGTAAAATGCCGACGTCCTTCATGTCTTTCAGGGAGTTCTGTAAGCACTGGAGGTTGAAAAGGAGCCCATAAATGAAAACAGCTTTTTAATAAACTACTTAATTCCATAAAGTCCTACAGAAAGTGCATTCTGGATTTATCTTCCCCTTTCTCAAGAAGTCTTTAAAATATTCCAAAAAATGCATTATGTCAGTCAATAGGCAAGTTAGGCATGTACAGCAGCCAGATTAAAAGACAAGTGACTGAGAATTAATTAGCTACAGCTTTAAAATAAACCAATTAGAAGCACATACAATCTACTTTTAACATCGCCCCCTGGTGATAGCACAGATATCCCACCGGGAAAATGCGTGGATAAAACTTACTACATTTTTTTTTCTCCTCCTTTCTCTCTAATGCAACTTTTATATCACCCTAAAAGGCAACATCATTCCAACCTAGTTAGTTCAAACTGTAAGGATACCAGAGAACTAAACTTGGACCGCCAGTAGATACTTATTTATAAATGGAAAGAAAGGAGTTAGGATGAAAATAAGACTGAATTTTCTGATCAATGTGTTAGCTAGTTCATTATATGAGAGATGGGGCATCTAGTATCACCCTGTACTCATATTTCCTTTAACCTGTCATGTACACGAGCCAAACGTGGAATCTATCTGCTGGTTGTTAGGGATGTTGGATGCCCACATACACAGCATCCTGAAGGAATCGTATGCACCAGATCAGCAGATAAACTGTCTTCTAGTACCTCTTGCATACATCTGCTAAAAAAGACGCTCCCTCAAAACCTTCAAATGTGGCTCAGTGCCTGTGGCTCAAGTGGCTAAGGCGCCAGCCACATACACCTAAGGTGGCGGGTTCAAATCCAGCCCGAACCCGCCAAACAACAATGATGGTTGCAACCAAAAAATAGCCTGGCATTGTGGTGGGTGCCTGTGGTCCCAGCTACTTGGGAGGCAGAGGCAGGAGACTCGCTTGAGCCCAGGAATTGGAGGTTGCTGTGAGCTGTGATGCCACAGCACTCTACCCAGGGGGACAGCTTGAGGCTCTGTCTCAAAAAAAAAAAACCTTCAAATGGACTCCCTCATCATTAGAGAGCAAACAACCTATGGTAAAGCAGTCCTCAGGGATTTATGCAAAGATGCTAAAGTCCTTGTTATTTGTGCATTTCAGGGAGCATAACAAAAGCTTAAAAGTTCAGGTTTGCCAAACCTAATACACATCATTCCTAAAAACTTTATGAAAGTTGTTTCTTCTGTTTTAACCCGCATCAACCAATGAACAAAACTAGTTTTTAAGCTAAGAGAAAATATTTGAAATAAAATACTTTTACAATTTAGAGGTAGAATTGCCTTTAAAGGTTATCTGTTCTCGTAACCTAAAAAACAATTCGGGGGGGCGGGGTGCTGTAGCTTGCATTTTGTAACACAGCCTTCGTCCCCCTGTGCATGCCGGCCGGCTTGCCAGCTGAAGAAACACATATTTCTATTTTAACTGTAGCCTCTTCAACCACTTTTCAATTACCAATCCTCAAATCCTAAGGCATTATTCAGAGTAGCCATTGGGATGTTCTCTTACATTACTTAGTAAACGTACAGCACTCCTCATGAATTTGGTAAGTTTTGCGATTTATCCAGGGGAAAGCTTAGGGAAATTCACTGTCAAATTTTCATTTGCTTAAACTCCAGTCACCAGAGGAAACAGCAAATCGAGTCAAACATTCCTCACGGTATGTCAGCCTGGTACACACAATCTGCCTTGACAATGAGCTACGGGGGTAGGAATCGTACTGCCGAAGATGAAGAATTAATCAATTAATCAATACATCCGTGCAGTGAAGGGTCCTGGAGACAGGACGGTTTATGCTCAGCATGACAGTGCCATTGAATAAGGATTCATCTTTGTTTCATTTTCATGCGACCGTCCTGAAACATCCCTTCCCTCAATAGCAATAAAATAAACATATTGATTCACAAAGAAGATAGGGGAAAAAAATCCCAGAATGCAAATAAAGGCACCTAGAAAGCCAGAATACAAAAAATAAATGGAGGGGACACAGCCATTTGATTTAAAAATGCTGAGTGGACTGTTAAGTACCTTGCAACCACTTAGGGAAAAATTGCACTGCTGTTACTACCCTGAGTAGTAACAGTAGTAGGTAACAGTCATCCATGCCTGCTTAGTGCAATTGCTTTACAAGGCATGAGTAGGTTCTTACTCGATCCTAAAAAAGTTCTGCAAACGTTATCTGTAACACTGCAAATATTAAGGCTTGATTAAAAGGAAAAGTTACTTTTGCAAACTCATACTGTATTAAAATTCCTACTTACATATGCAGACATGTTAAGCAAAGTCTGTTTCATTCAGAACGTCAATGTTTTCCCAAGACTCCCTAAAAGCTAAAAATTCAAAATACCTTTTCGGTTTTGAAAATCACAAGGCAAACTCTGAATCTACTTTCACCTTTTCATTAACACATTAACCCCAAGGTCTTATGTCTTGTTTTATGACATACAATTAAACTTGGGACAAAGATCTCTTTTGATGAAGTTTTTCAATTTGTAGACTTTGTTTCAACAAAGACTTTGTTTTAAAAGGGAGGGCAGGAGAAGGGGGAGTGGAGTAACCAGGCAAAGGCACTCACATATCGCTGGGAAATCTGCTTTCTTTCGCTGGGGTCTGCTAAGGGGCAGACACACAGATCAGAGACGGAGACTCCTGCGCAGGGCGTAAGTGTGACCAACATCAGGAGAGCCCCCAGACAGCTCTCTAAGGGCAGCTCCAAGCAGTTGGCTTGCTTCAGAGGGAGCGCCGAGATATCCACTTTACACCTAGAAAAGTTCCAGGAATCAGAGAAAAAAGAAAGTGATTAATTCAAGACCACTGCAGAACCTCCAAGGCACCTGGCTTTTATTTCATCAGGCCCCAACCCTCACTGTCTGGGCTCACGTTTATTGAACAGTGAGGGTTGCAGGGGCTCCCTGGCTCGTAATACACACCCTCAGCCTAACACGCTCTAAAATTAAGGAGAGAACAAAGTACAGAAATTCAAAAAGAAGATAGCATCAGGCGGATGGCAAATGAAAAGTCAGGTCTTTGCCAAATAAAGTCTGCAGAAAGAGAATGAGAACAAAAATTAGGGAGAAGAAAAGTTTCCAAGTTTAAGCATTGAAGGGTGAGTGCTGTGTATGGCTTCCCTGTGCTGTGTCTTTTATGAGTAAAGAAAATAAAAGATCATGGATCAAGACACGAAGAAAAAAAAGACATGAGAAATGCAAGTGGGAGCGCATTAAAGGAGAACCATTTTCTTCCTGATTAATGCCAACTGGTGAATTCTTGTTTAAAGAAACACGTTAAGGTGTTTTCCTAATAGGCACTGGGCCACAGGGTTTCCCCAGGTGGGGTTCTTTTGGACAAATGGAGCATGAAGTGGTGTTGATTGATCCCATTTCTGCAGCACTGCCAGCAAAGGCTGTACCCATCTGCTAGAAATTGCATGTTTTCCGCCTCTTAATAGCCAATGTTCTGGGGATGTTGAAAACCTCAAACACATTTAAATACAGAAGCAAACACCAAAAACGGGGGCCTTGGTGCTAAGCCATTTATTTGCTTTAACACTGACAACTCTGGGTTTGCCCAGACCACACCTGCTATGTTTATGCTTGCAGGTGGGTGAAGGGGGTGGGGGGGTGGGGAGGGGAGGGCCAGGATGGCAGTCCTAGATGTAATTCTTTTTCAATTCTCATTTGTCCACCATAATTATAGAATAAGATGAATATTCAAGACTTTATAAAGGAGGAGCACACTATTGTTTGTTGTGGGATAAAGGATATTTACCCCCTCAAAAAACAATAAAAATGGATGACTCTTAAATCTTCAATGAACTTTGTATGCTTGCAGATAATTACAAACAGGCAAACTTGCATAATATTCAAAGCAATGGCACGTTTGAGCCACAGGGCTATGTGGACAAAAATTTCTAGTTTAAGAAAATTGAGAGAGCACCTGCAATTGCCTTGCAAATTAAAAAGAAAAAAACAACATTAAAACTCTAGGCCACATTTTATTATATAATTTTAAAATGACTTACTGACACGTGTCTATACAATTAGGTATACATGGGTATTTATTTCTTATTTATCAAAAGTGACCCTGCTTATGGGACAGAGTGGCAATTAGAACTTTTGCATATAATAAATTCATCAGCTATTTCTATTGGAGACAGATTACAAAATTGTATTTTAAAATAATCCTCTGATTTGAATCAAACTTTTCTTACTTTTTTTTCTGTAGTGATTATCTTTTAACATTTACTCCCATTGATGAAAAGAGCAAATTACTAAATATTTTTATTTCATAGGCAATTGCGTTAGTGGCAAAATCAAATTTGCTTGGAAAGAAAAAAATGTCAAATGCTTTCACTATGCCATTTCTAGAAAACAGAGTGCTCACACATTCTTAACCACTATCCAGTAATACAGCTATTTAGGAATACTTTGCTAACATTACAGCAGTGGTTCTCAACCTTCCCAATGCCGCGGCCCTTTAATACAGTTCTTGTGGGTCGTGACCCACAGGTCATATGCACGTTCATGTAATAAAGCTCGTTCGTATGGGAAGACAAACGATCCCATTTTTTATGAATTTTTTTTGCTGGTCACTTTAATCCAAATTAGCAATAACCAATTCACAATACACTCTTTTTAATGCCATTGATAACAGTTGTTTATATTTGTCCGTGGACCTTCCTTGTTGTGATGATAGTTTTGTTTGTTTTTTGAACAGACAAAAGTTATTTAGAGAAAAGTGCACTGAGAGTTAATAATGTTTGAGGGTCAAAAATAATGCATAAGTAGGCAATAAAATTTTTCTTGGATAATTCAAAATGGACTTGACATTTAATTCTAAAGAGTAATCGGATAGTGCCGTGAGCAATATTAGGGTATTTTGAATAACTCTGCAAACTCTCCTAGTGACTGGTTAAATGCACCATGTCCTGAAACAGAGCATTTTGTTATTTTCAACAAAAGCTGAACCACATACCAGATGACATGCAAAGTAAATGCTGGGTTTCCTCTCAGAAATTATACATTTTCACAAACTTTTCAGTCATTTCTGTCCAATGTCAGTTTTATTCTTATCTGATTTTTAAATTATTTCATTAACTAGGAAAGAAACAGCCATGCCCAGTTTAGATAGCAGACCTCCATAAATAACAGGTTGAAGACTCTGGTATCAACTTAATGGATTCTACATTCTTTTTATTAACTAATGAGTGAATTCAGCCAAATCTTCCCTTTTACATTCTTAGTGACCTTACAGAGCAAATTAAATTGATATGTCAGCATCATGCCAATCAAAATTAAACCTTGGTCTTCTGCACATGGGGTATGACCCAGCTGATGAGGGTCTGTGACCCACCATGTGATTTGATGTCTTAAGACTTAAGAATTAATTTACAGTGACCTTCTCAGGTACCTTACAAAGATGGCTTTCTATAAACTTTCTGTATCTTGCTACCCACCTGGCTTCCCCATTTATTCTCACATTCTGAAAGAAAGAAGGAAAGATGGAGGAAATACACATATCTCATACAAAACCCTCTCTTATTCAGGCTTCCGGTTTTACCCTATTTTGACCCCAGTTCCCACTGCTCTTGTCCTAAATTTGATGGAGAACCAGAAGCTCTGGATGTGAGCCAGAGAATTATTTGCATTAACCCCAAGCTAGGAAGGGTCTAAGACAGTATCAGCAGAAGCAGGAGGAGAATTATTCTTTCTGCAAAAGAATAATTACAAACACTCCTCCCAAATTACAGACACTTTTACCACAACCTTCTGAACGACAGTTAAGAATCAAATGAACAAAATCCCTTTTTGTTGCTTTCTTAGGTTCAAAGGCAAATGGACTAAATTTTAAAATCTTTAAGAGTGAACATTATATAATACATTCATTGAAGGCATCTTTAACATGAAAAATCTTGAAAGGATAACCCAGGCTGGGTTTTTTTTTTTTTTTCCCCACTTTCCATTACTGTACCGTATTTTTCTCCAAAAAAATAATAAATAATTTGGTTGGTCTCCTAAAACTATCAAGTCACTACTGAAGACCTATGAAATCTTTCACTCTTGTATCAGAGTCTCACCCTGAGACCCTGCATGAGTCTGTGTTTTATTTTAAGATAGAGTCTCACCCTGTCACCCTGGATAGAGAACCAAGGCATCACAGCTCACAGCAACCTCTAACTCTTGGGCTCATGTGATCCTCTTGCCTCAGCCTCCCAAATAGCTGGGCCTACAGCAAACTGCCACAATGCCCTGCTAGTTTTTCTATTTTTAGTAGAGATGGGGTCGCTCTTGCTCAGGATGGCCTCGAACTCCTGAGCTCAAGTGACCCACCTGCCTCAGCCTCCCAGAGTGCTAAGATTATAGGTGTGAGCCACTGCACCCGGCTTTTATAAGGCTTTTTGTCATCTCTTTACCTACGTACCTGTTAGGAGGAGGGCACTGGATTAGCCTCTACCTGTTATGGGCAGGACCCAGAATTTGCATACCCTGAGCGTCTATGCCAGAAATGCAATTAATGAGCATTAAGCAATCAGATCTGTTCCTATGGCATTGTATGCATGGGGCCTAGCCATGTTTCACAGTCGTTCAGAAGGTGCAACACACTGACACACTGGCCCTCAACTCACCAAGGATATTCTCATTGCACTGTCAGCTATGAGAAAATTCTGTTGGTAGGAGCTCCACCGTAATGGCGAGATTTATATTAAGGAAATAAAAGTAGCCGAGACACTGCCTTGCAAGTACTGAGAGAGGAGAGTCTGCTGGTCATTTGCACGAGACGGAATCCAGGGCTCTGTGACCACAGCCTGCCCTCTGCTCTAGTCTCACCATGTGACATCATTCTTTTCATCCCTGGGTAGCTTCCAAGAGGGAATGTGCCCTCTCCTCTCCAAGCCTTTGCCCATGTTGTGCTGTCTTCCTACAAAGCTCTTCCACCCCTCTCCTCAGACAAACTGCCACCCGCCTTACAGGTCTCTGCTTAGGCCCCTGTTCTTCTAGGAGAGGCCTGTGTTTACCCCAAGCCCAAGCGGGTTTCCGTGGCGTCAGGGTCCACAGCCCTCCATGGTGTGTCACTGCTGGCTTGCTTACTGTACAGCCCAAGACCTTTTAGTGCCCAGTGATGGGGTAGCTGTCATCATGCACTGAATCCCTAGCTCTCTGCACCCTACCAGACACATGATGTGCTCTAGATTTGTTGGATAAATTGAATGCACAAACAAATGAATGCCAGCAGCATAATGGAACTCTTAAAGTCAAAAAATTCAAATTACAAAGTCACCGCCTTTTGTTAACTATCAGGCTTCTGCTGTCTCTACTTCTTCCCTTCTATAGAAAGGAATTGGAATAACGTGTATTTCCTGGGAGGCTCCCAGATGAGAATTTCCATTGTTCTACTCACCTGAAGAAAAACAAAGACGAAATTACCTTTCTTTTCCTCTTTCCTGCCACAAGCACATATGAAAGCTCCCCTCTCCAGCCCTGAGGCAGTTAATGTGCTGACGTAGCACCGTTCTGACCTCCTATTCTTGTCTCCCCCCATTAATCCTGCAGCATTTTAATGTTTTAATTCAACACATAATTTTACCATATCAGTCAGCCAAACCTGCTCAAGTTTTACTTGCCATGATAGCTTTTAACCTCTTATTCATTACCATAATTCTATGTTTTATATTACAGGCTGGTCAGCTTTTAACTTAAAGGCAAGGGGCAGAAAAGAGTGGTAAGAGTTTTAAAAGCTGTAAATCTCAGAGGCTGAGGAAGCGGGGAACAGGAGGAAAGCGGCACATGTGTCAAGCCAGGCTGTAAAAGCAGCTCAACGACACGGGGTGCAATTTGTCCAGAGAAATACTCCAGCCCAGATTTTTCACTGCCTCAGAGCCACTAATAAACGGGGAGAATGTCAGCACCACTTTACAAGGCACCATCTGGGGCTGAACTGAGCAGAGGCTCTGAGGCAGGCCGGTCAGAACACGCTCTCACTTTCACTCTTACCCTTTCCCAACTAAATCTGGAATCTTCTATGATAAGGTCATCTCTAGAATCATCTTGAAATATAAAATACTAGGGCGCCAGCCACGTACACCTAAGGTGGCGGGTTCGAATCCCCAGCCCGGACCCGCCAAACAACAATGACGGCTGCAACCAAAAAACAGCCGGGCGTTGTGGCGGGCGCCTGTAGTCCCAGCTACTTGGGAGGCGGAGGCAGGAGACTTGCTTGAGCCCAGGAGTGGGAGGTTGCTGTGAGCTGTAATGCCACGGCACTCTGCCCAGGGGGACAGCTTGAGGCTCTGTCTCAAAAAAAAAAAAAAAAAAAAAAAAGGGCAGCTGCTGGGGCCCAAAAAAGGGGGGCGCCGGCCCCATATGCTGGAGGTGGTGGGTTCAAACCCAGCCCTGGCCAAAAACTACAAAAAAAAAAAAAAAGAAATATAAAATATACTTGAAGGAAATGATAGGCGCACTTTGAGAGGGCCTAAAATGGAATAATCTATATTAATGTGTATTCATACTCTTGACATTTAAAAGTTGGAAAAGGTTTATACCTACTCTCCCTAAAACCCCTGACTGACATCAGATGCCATCTTTTGCTTGTTTTGCCCATGACCAAACTCGAGCGTTACCAGGAACATGGCATGTCGGGGGGCTGGATCTTACCCAAGCACTGTCGCCTCACTAACCTAGCCTCTGTAGGAGTTATGTGGGGCTCAGCAGGACCCCCCCTCCATTGTACTACAATACCGGGGAAGTCAGAATAGGACTCAGGAGGGCTTGGCTGCCAAGCAGGGCTATATTTTAAGCTAACAACCTGCCAACGCCAATGTGATTTCTCTTTGCGTGACTAACCACTCCAACCAGACTTTTCATTCACAGCTAGAAACTGTAATATTATTCCATTTAACCTATACTGCTCACAATGCTTTAGTCAATGGCTGTCTCATTAAAATCTCAAAATTAATAACTCCACCTACTATTTGAAAATCAAAAGGATAAACAATGTCAAGTAGACTTTGTTGCTCTTAGCTACAATGACCCAGCAGGTTGGCCAGTGACTCCACTCTACAGGTGGAAAGTCAGGCTATACAAATGAGTTCACTGCGGTAGACTCCAGTGCCAGTACAAGGTGTGGTTACCAGCAAGCCCAGGGTGTGGGACTCCCAAGTCAGCATTCTGTCCCTTACAAGGAACTGCCTATGATGGGGGACCTCGCGGAAGATAATTTCCTCAGAGAGGTCACCTAGATCTTTGTCTCTAATGTGCAATTACGAACATCAAGTAGTTATCCGAAAATAAAATATAAGACGGGGCTTGAGACACGGTTAAGATTCACTCTCACTAGTATTTTCCCAGCAGTTGGAAGATAAAATAGCTGAGCCTTGGAATAAAGATCACAACGAAAAGGAAAGCTAGGTGGAAAAAATAAAAAAGATGAAATGTTTAAAAGTAGCCCTTAAGGATGTGCACAAGTTACACAGCAGCACAATCTTTTCCTTTAGCCTAAGAAGCTCTAAGATGTATTAGAGTAGGTTTTGTCCACCTGCAACTTTGCTGCAGGGAAATGCTGATGGAGCCAATTCCCAAGAGACACTTTGCTATCTTTTGCACTACAGGAGAGGAAAAAGGAAAAGGACACACACACACAAAAAAAATCCTTTAAAGTCCACAAAGAGCAGAATAACTAACGAAGGCAGGTAGATGCCTCGGCTACAAACAGGAAATGGCTAAAATAATAAATGGGTCCCAAATGACAAAACATGGAGTGAAAGGGACATCTTCAATTATTCTTCTTGTCTCTCTGCAGCAACCCAACACTCATTTAGAAAAGCATTTCCTATTCTGTGAAGGAAACATAACAGCACAATGACATGTGAATGAGGGCATCAGTCCTCGCGCCTACTAAAATTACACGGGGCCATTCATCACAAGAGACCCAAAGTCCCACTGCTCAGATAACACTCTGGGACACGGCGTTCTCTGCATTGGTGTAACTTCTCCTTGCTCTGTGGGTTAGCACAAAGTTTCGGATCCTCCTGCCTTCAGTGTTGGCAGGGATCTGATATGTCACCACTGATGATGTCAGAGGTACTAAGAAGTGGTTAAGGCATCTCAGTTGCCCTGTGTGTGTGGAAGAGGGAAAAACAAGGTCAGATCCTAATCGGACAGGCAACGTCTAATGAAATGCTGGGCCCTGGGAAGACCCCCTGCACAAGGAGGAGAATGTGGCTTGACCCGATTTGCTGTCCAAATGCACAAACCTGGCCAAGAGCAATGATGGTGACCTAACAGATAAGCATAGAATTGGGAGTGAAGAGACAGTGCTAAGTGATGCAGCCAGGGTGCAGGGGGTGACATGGAAGTCTTGGGTGTGGTCCCTGAAGTGCTTGTCCCTTCAGAATGCTTAGTATGAGGCTCTGCACCCATAGAACAGTGGTTAGGGCACCAGCCACATAGACCAGAGATGGCAGGTTCTAACCCACCCCAGGGCTGCCAAACAACAATGACAATTACAGCCAAAAAATAGCTGGGCATTATGGCAGGCTCCTGTAGTCCCAGCTACTTGGGAGGCTGAGGCAAGAGAATAGGTTAAGCCCAAGAGTTTGAGATTGCTGTGAGCTATGACACCCTAGCACTCTACTGAGAGCAACATAGTGAGACTCTGTCTCAAAAAAAAACCAAACAAACAAACAAAAAAAAAAAAACAAAGAAAACTAAAACAAGAAAGAAAGAGTGCTTAGTATGAGTACACATATTCTGGAATGCAAGCATACTCTGTGTGTATACACACACGCACTTGTGTGTGTTTCCATGTAATAGCTGAGGAAAGCGGCATCAGGAAGGTAAGTGCCAGGTTTGCTAATCGTCCCTCCAGACAAGACCGGCCCAGGAAACAGAGAACCCCACGGAGACACGCTGGAGGAAGGTGTCGTGGGCACTGAACTCCCTACTCCTCTCACTCCAGACCCAGAGGTGGGATGGCGTGATGACAGCACGCAGCCAGGCGCTGTGCTAAGTAGGTGACACAGAAAGACCACTGCACAAGTGACTGGGTTAGCAGGGTCTTTCCCCATTTCTGCTTCTAACTTCCTGGCTGCTGAAAAAAAATAAATAAATCACCTCCCTGGGCTTCTACATGTCCTTATCTGTAAAATGAAGGGATTTTTACTACATTAGTGGTTTTCGATCTTTAGTTTTCAGCAATGTAACCTTTCCCTCAAATGGAACCCCAATATACAGCACAGGCAAGAGCTGAGACACTCTAGCTGGGGCAGAGGGATCTTAACTCACATCTGCAGAGGTAGCTCTGCCGTCCCTCAGGGACTGACCAAGGCATGCCCTGAACCCAAGTTCCAACCTTGAAAAAGACAAACACAATAGCTGGTGGAATCCATTTGAACATCTGTCTTCTAAATTTAAGACCAGTGTACAAACGGAATATAGATAGAATGAACAAAAGGCAGTGATTTGTTGGAAAAAAACTTTTGTTTTTGAAAACACAAAATCCTGACTCTGGAACTCCTTGTTCTTAAGTTCACGGACAAGTCACTCGTAAACTTCGTGAACTCTGCTTCCTCGACATAAGCATGACGTCACTAACTCGCAGGGCTGTTCCAAAGACCAGAGGTGCAGCAGCCCGGTGCACGCACCGACTCACTCCCCTGCCACCCGAGGAAGAAGTTTCCGCAACACTTATCACATTACTGTTCTTATGTGTGTGTGTCTCCATTCAGCTGGGACGGTCCAGAGTAAAGACCTCAAAAGATTCCCCGTTACAGTTTGCTTCAGAGTATAAGGACATTGCAGTTTCTGTTATGGGGGAGACACCTAGCATTATGTCCTTACCAACTTATATAATATTTCACTCAAAGTAGCCAGACCAAAATTTTAGAAAATATTAGAAATGTATATAACTTTCTCCACCAATAGTCTGAGATGGCACTGTGTCTTTCTGTAGAAAATTCCTGATACCTACTATTTTCTTTTATTTTAATCAATATTGAATGACAACTAGCACCAACAAAAATAATAATAATAAAATGTGACAAAATAACAAGCAAATTTTCCCAGAGTTAGGACTGGCCAGACAGTTTACTGATGGTTTGGGGGAGGGCAAGGGGGGAGGAGATGGGAGGGGTTGGGGAGAGGATGGAGGTGGGGGTAGGGACACGGATAGGGATGGGGATGGGGGAAAAGGACAGGGGTGGGGATATGGATGGGAGAGGGCTGGGGGACAGGGATGGGGACTGGGGCTGGGCGGTAAGGGACAGCGATGGGAGGGGAATGGGGACACCCTAGCAGGTGCACACCTTCTCTCGGGGCCCACCCCACCACACAGAAACCAGCTCATGCCTGGAAAGCAGAGGGGACTCACGTGCCCAGACGCTCCTCGCGCTTTTTGCTGTCCTTCCCCCACACTTCAATATCCAAAATGCCCATCCTGTCAGAGAAGTAGTGAAAGTCAAACTGTTCCTGCCACTGCGGGTTTGCACTCTTACACAGTGTCTAGAAAACATGCAGTTATAATGTTTATTTTCTTACAGCGTCATTCATTGTTACAGCAGCTACACATTACATTCATTTCTAAACTGCAGGAGGCCGTGATGATGGATTCACCCCTTATAAAGTCAAACTTGCCTTTTTGGAATGAAAAGGACTCAGAGTGTCCAGGAATTGGCAAAGCATTCCTACTCCCTTTATCCGGCCCCCAGATTCAATAATATAGCCACTGAGTTAATAAGAACACTATTAACTTCACAAGAAATTGTAAATAACCTGTGTCTCTGTGTATACACACACACTGTGGACATGTATCAATAACATTTTGCAACTGTTCTCTTACAGAAGATAACACTAATTGGTTAAACAAAGGCAAGCCACGTCCCCATTCTGTGCTAGCTTAAAAGCTCTATAAATTAACAGGCTGGGATCTTAATTCACATCTGCCAAATGCATTGAATAAGCAGCTCATAACTTGTACACTGCTGCCTCTTTAAATACCAGGTTACTGAATCCAATCACTAGGGTGGGGGGAAGACAAGGAAATTCCAGCCAGACCTAAAAATTAAGGAGAGTGGTTGGAAACCCCCACAAGAGTTTCTGTGTTCTCCAAAATGATTGCCAACCACGTGTGTGTTTAGTTCATTGGCAGGTTTACATTTTCATTTCATTTACATAGAGATTCAAATTGTGAATCAAGAGTGAGCAAAAATGCTGTAGGCCCCTGAGTATCAGGCTCCAAGGGCAGGCTCCAGGTATTAAATCTTCACACCAAACTGTCCCTGCCTAAGAATAACATGGGCCTCTCAGGCCTCAGCTGTAACCAATGTCACCTAAATTCATTTAAGCTGTTTTTCACATCAGGCTTAATATATCAGATCACAGAATTTAGAAACTAAGCAGGGGAGGGAGGGCCTATTAGACTGCAAATTAAATGCAGTATTCCCTCAGGGGGATGTAGCAGATATTGGACTAATTCTATACTTCACCTTAGTCCAAAGGGCTAAGTGTGCTTAGTGATGAATAATTTTTCTATAAACCCTTCGCCTGACCCCGGCCGGCTAAAGGAATCTTAGTAGAGAGATGTGGTTACCCTGGATACGCTGACTGTGAGGCACAGCCTAAAATTACCTGGTCAAAATAATTTTGTGCAGATTGCGGGTATAGCTCACCCTCAATTTTTCACATTTTTTATAATTTATTCTTCAACATGAGCCTCCCTTCTTCGCTCCTTTGTGCTAAAGTAAATGATGTCAAATATTTGATTTTGCCCTAAAAATTGTTCAGTGCAGACCACCTCTCACCTCCCTAAATCATCCTCCAACTGTCTGCATGTGGTACGGCCTGGAGGCTGGCAAGCCCAAAGGGCAGGTATCTTCCGGTCCATTTTCAAAATCTTCCACTGATATCTTTCTTTTCTATGTGGCTTTTGGCAAATGATTTCACTTTCAAGAACTCTAGCTCCCTCAATGCATAAAAAAAACATGGGAAATAGTCCTGTCCTGTTTGACAGTTATGTAAAACTAATTACCATGGTTCTGAGACTACGGTTTTTGAAATAAAACTCACATCAAATTACTAAAATTAAAAATTCAATGGAATTTGGATCGGCAAAATAACATGAATTGTTTTTAAAGAAAGTTAAAAAATGCCATTGCTATTGCTAAAAGCTACTCATTTTTAACACTTTAGATAGTTTTATTCTTAAATCACAGCAAAAAACAGCAGCACTCGGTATCTATTTTTGGTATTAAGACAAAAAAGAACAAGTAAAGGGTATATTATTTTGAAAATGTTTTCCATTATCTCAAATATTTTAATCCAAATGTCAAATACCAATCCAAAATACGCTGTTTTATTTTTGTAGCATTTTGAAAACACTTAGTTACCCTTTTCCCACATTCTATGAAACATAGTTTGCTTATTTTCAAAATGAACACAAATCAGGCATTCAAATCTATGACTGGGGAAGGAATCTGTAGTTCTGAGTGACTATGTTAAAGTAAATTATACTAAGCAATCAAAACAATACCCACATTAATTGATCGCTTCTATACAATTATTTTGTTTTCTGGGAGACTCCTTAATACAATTAGGAGGGCTAAATAAAAATTACTTCTATTCTTGAGAAATTGAAAATGGTAACAATTTTTTTTTAATTCTTTTCTTACTCTTAAAGATAGTGTTCTCCATATGGAATCTGTTGAACTTACCTTACTTTTATATCTCTGATCTCCCAGTTTTAACTGGACAAATATCTCTGTCACGTTTCCTCCTGAGACATTCTTCCCTTCTAACAAAGTTATACTGATAATCCCGTTCCACAGTTGGTTCTTCCTCAAGGACTCTGAGAGTCGTAGGTTACGTATCAAAGAGGACTAAAACAAAAAATAAAGATGACATATCAACTTGCTGATAATTCTTGAGAGTGGCTTTGGTGATCATAAGAATTCCAGTTTTCAGTATTTGATTTAAAAAGTCCCTCCCTGCTTGGTAAAAAGGGTTACTCTTCCTTGGTTTTGCAAACCTGCAGTCACAGCTATGAGACTTTCTTCTTGAGTACCGGACTTGCAATAATACAGTCAAGAATACAAGCAACACTGTGATTTGGCACTGGCCTGCACTCCCACCCACTGTGCTCTTTGGTAGAAATCCTCAAACTGGGCCTTTAGCTATTTTAATAGTATGAAGGAAAGAAAGGCATTCTGGGAAACAGAGATATAAGAGGCACTGCTTTGCAAGGAAATAAAATATTCCTGGGCATATAGAAACAGTAGCTTTGAATTTATCCTTCACATTGAAAACGTGCCTACTTCCCTTCATTCCTTGGGCTACTGTTAATACTGAAAGGCCAACACTACCATGAGATGCACCAGCTCCAGACAGCAGCCTGTCCAGATGAGTTTTGCAGATGTGAGGGGTGGTATGCACCACGGAGCAGGGTGTGTAAAGTACATCTCAGAGTGCCTATGACCCCGTAGGGGTTCATTAACTGTTAACTTGGATATTTGTGTTCTTTTTTTATTTTTATTTTTTTTTTTTATTAAATCATAAACACATAGATCATCTATACACGAATGCATTTACGGGGTAAAACGTACTGATTTCATATAGAATTAGGAGCGTTTACATCACACTGGTTAATAGAAACCTCATCTCGTTTACTTAATTATTGTGTTAAGACATTTATACTCTATACTTAATACATCTGACAAGTACCCTTGCATTATGCACCATCGGTGTGATCCCACCGTTCACCTCTCCCTTGATCTGACCTCTCTTGTAAAAAAGGCAGACACCCTCATTACTGAATTATAAATGGAACATCCACACTTTATTTTTAATTTCTATTGTGTAAATTTTGCAATAGACACAAAGATGAAGAAAACATCATAGTAAATCTCCATGTAATTTTCACCAGATTCAATATTTTGCCAGTCTCCTTTCGCCTATCCCTTCATTATCTTTTCTGGCTGAAATACTTGAAAGCAAAATCCACATTTGTTTTTACGTAACCAGCACCTCATGATCACACATGACAAAATTAACTGTACTTCCCTTAATAACTCAACACCTCATGCATGTTTACATTCAGCCATGCATTTTTCTGGCTAGCGTGACTGAGGGACCCACACAGCCCTTTGGCTGCCCTGAGCTGGCAGAGTTCACTTATGTTCTCCACTTAGTAGGAGAAACGGCATGAGCATAGACTTCTGCCTTTGAAGGAGAAATAAACGGGCTGCCGAATATAAATGGTGCGAAGTATCACAGCAAAGCAATGAATTTCTGACGCTATATATTCATTCCTGTCATCTGCTCGTGATACTTTCTAGATCATTTAGACACCAATTTACCTGGACACCAGTTAGTCTCCATTTATAACATATGATATGTCTGACCATATTAATTACATACTAACATATCTCATCACACCCACATCACTCCACCAACTCTTACTAAATGGTGCAACAATGCCATTCCAGGAGTTTTGTTGATTGTTTTGTGATGACCTCAGGCGGAATACATTTAAGAACTATACATTCCCAAACTTCCTATCTATGTTGCTTTTCTCTTGAAACACACACACACAGTTTTGGGGTACCAAGACACAGCAGGGTGGGCAAATGTGGAAGGAATTAATTTACAAAAGAAAAAAGTCCCTCTCCTCTTGTAAACATGAATTTTTTCCTTTACTCTCATACATACCCCCCACAGACACATTTATACACTTACATATACACATGTAAGATAGAACACAATCAATAATTAAGGTTTATAAAATAGATAAGCAACTTTATATTTGTTAAAAACAACATACAGCATCACAACAGACATATCCATGTACATGCGTATGCATATGTAGACGTATAAGCATATGTAGATATTCCTAACACATTTTATAGCTTAAGTACACAGGCTGAAAACTTCTACCTTCAGAACAAAAATGAGACTTTGATTCATGGACCTGCCACGATTCCTCCTTTGGCTTTTCTGCTTTTCTTCCCCTTCAAGTTTGACTCGCCAACCAACAAGCTAAAGTATGACCTGTCCCATGGCCATGCTTCAAAGTTCCGACAGATATATTCCTCCCTAAACACTGCAACTATTTCACAATCCTTTTTATAAAAAAGGGAGTAATGTCCACACAGGATCAAAGGGCATCCTACAGTCTGGCAATTGCCTAAGAAAAATGGCAGCACGTCCATGAAATATGCCCTAAAATAATTTTGCGGCTTGGTATGTCCTAATTTCAGATTGGATGTTTATCTTGGAAAGGCTTCTATCTAACTTGTCCATAAAAAAAGCCTCACTTAGCTCTCTGAGCTCTGTGGAAATGGAATCCAAAGCTGGTTATTAAGGGGGCCTGGAGATGGGTTCCATATGGCGGAACAGCATGGGAGGGCAAGGCTGAGGCCCGTATCAGGCGCGGCTTGGCTGGAGCTCCTGATCTACCCATGGACACTCGTTGCATTACACCAGAACATCTGGATTATTGCTTGTAATGTCCCTGGGAAATATCCACTTTCCATCAAAGCTTTTATCTATCTCAGTCGGACTTTGAACATTTTAGTATTTAACGCAGTCATGTTTGATCTGATGGACTTGTTCTTTGCTGTCCAAGATTCTCCCCAACCCCCTCCTAAAGGCAGTGCGGGACAAGTATTTATTGCAGAGTTCACAGATAGAAAAGAACACAAGACCTTTATTCTATTTATTTCAGCCTAAATATTTCTGCAAAACCTACTATAAGGTTATCTCCAAAATAAAGTTTCGTCTGTGAGTCATAAATTGGGGGTGCTTTTAAGAAGTTTCTTAATGACTTTATCATTTCTCTTCCACCCCTGATAAGCCTGATGAGGTTCAAGACAGAGAGCCTGTGTTGGGGGGCAGGCCCTGGGCACTCTGCTGCCGAGCTGGCCTCTCAAAATCTTCTGCACTCTTCAAACACGGCCTTCCCCCCACAATAAATCGACTCATCTGCACTCACTCAGTTCACTGAATAGCTTAGGTTTTCATGTCTGTGTCCAAGCCTATAAGTGAAATTTGTCATCTTAATGCATCCTGGAATGTGAAAGGAGAGAAGGAAATGATCCGTGGAAGGGAAAGGCCACCCCACCTGAAATGAGACAAACACCCAGAGATGGCGCAAAGTTTCTGGGTCCTGACCCTCATCCCTTAGCAGGCATAAGAGAGCAAATATAGTACGTCGGGTTTTGTTATTGTTCTCCTTCCTCCCAAAGGATCGGAACCCGTTTGCCATTTCTATGTTGATCCCTTCATGTGCTCTCTTCTTCAGCCCCACCCCACCAACTCCACACTCCTAAACAGTGACTTCCACCTCAAACACACACCTTAGTTGTAAGCAGTGAAAACACAGTGTGGTGTTCAGCTGGTGAATATGTTGACTTTAGTAAAATTGAGATAGCTTTGAAAATATCAGTTTACTTCTAGGTCACAACACTCACAGAGCCCAAGCAGGAAAGGAAGAAACTCCGAACTGAGACCGAAATTATACGCAGTGGATCCAAACCTGGCGAGCATCCTCAGGAGTTCTTCATACAGGTTACAGACTCTTAAAACAGGGCATGGACTGTCAGAGCCTGGGACTACTGCTTGGTGACATGTGTCAAGGATTTTGGCCCTGGGCAAGCTGGGAGACAGTGATGTGAATTCCAGGATCTAGTTTTCTTGGTGTGGCTGCAAAGGAAAACCTAGGGATGATGGGCAGGTCAGCTCGGTGCCTCCCATCTGTCCCAAGCCAGGACGAGTGGCAGAGAGGTCAGAAGTAAAGGAATACTAAAAGGACAGCATGATACAGGAGCTGGGGCCACAGCCTGCAGCCCTCGAAAGCAGGTCACCTTTAGTGATGCCATGCTCTGGATCTGAAATAGCTGACTGATACCTATGGGCAATTACCCAAACCACTCCTTTGCATATAATACAATACCTACCCACTCCAAATAATAATAATAATAATAATAAAACCCAAATATCAAACAATAAGAGGGAAGCAAGAAAAAGGTGCCTGCCAGGTGCCAAATATAGCACAGGCACTTTATATATTATCTCAGCGACAGAAGTGTAAACACATCAGCGTTCCCACATTGCCAAGCCATTCTCCTTAGATTCCTATTGATTACTTTTCCTCAGTCACCATGAGAAAGTAAGTAGTCAATGGAAATAAATGCATGGGAAAAAGCCAACTAGCTTTGTCAGAAAAATGACTAGGAAAAGCCAGAGTCCAACTATATTGACCACTGCTTTGAAAAACTAAGAGAAAGCATTCCACATGTAAAAGGTTTCACGGAAATATTCCTTTCAAGTTTTGTCAACATGTAAAACTACTGCTCCTTGTCATCAGTTTTTATAGCAGAACATGAAAAGATCCGTGCATCCTACAACAGGCTCCCAGCAAAGAGCCTCCGCCAGCTCCTTCATGTCATCTGAAGAGGGTTCTGCAGACACAAATTCTTCTAAAACTACACGCGTATCTGCATAAGGATATGAAGAAAACTTTTTAAATTTCCCACATGTAGATGAAAGATGAGATTTACATTTGCACATGAAAACTTCACAGTGCTAAGGACAGGAATAATCTTTGTGTATAAAAGCATTGCTATTAAATTTAATATTTTTTAATTATAAGGGAATATCCATGTTTGTACTTAACAAAAAATAGATGGAGAAGACAAAAGAAAAATAAAGACTGTCAAATGACCCAATGACTCCAGAGTTTAGGACCAAGAAGATTCTTCTAATGCTTTTTCTACTGTCAAAAACCAACACGGAGAAGAAATGAAGGCCACGTGATTCAACAAGATTTTCAAGGAAGCTCGAAGGTTACTACTATGCTCATACGCACCAGTATTTGAAATCT